GAGTTTCCTGAAAGTTTTACCTGTATATATTATATCGAATAGACTGCTCATAATGTTTGTACACTGGAGTACGTCGGAGAATGCATGACTTCTCCAAAACCTGATTCCACCGTGATTTGCTTTTAGTTGTCTGGAGATCACTAAGCAGGCCAAAGTGAGGGCCAGTACAGTACGTTGGGAAATCTGGAGGAATCTAAGGTTACATTAAATGAATCTGTGCGGATGGACGGGTGGATGGATTGCATTGCTTTTCCGGGTCACGTCATAGACGTAGTTCTTTAACCTGATTCTTGACCTGTTGTGACGTTCGCAGAATAATTATTGTTGCCGCCGGCGGATTCTACCATTGCATAGTATTCGCGATCTTCTGAAGCGCTCGTTTAACCTGGTTGGTGAAATCATTGTAGAAGTCACCAATTTTTCATCGTACAAGGAATATAATACATTTAGAATTCTTGGATATGCATTATTCTGATGAATCATTGCACAGATTTCGATGCCTTGAATATCTTAACTTTAAACTGTAAAGCATTAACATGTAAAGTTTAGAAAACATCGCCATGGAGGAGACGACTGTTGACCTTCGCGGCGACATCGATTCTAGCGCTAAGGAAATGTTGTTGCCGGAAAATGGTACTAAGTCGAAGTATGCATTAATAAATTTGCTTAAAATTTTTCATGCGTTTTTTGTTTCAGATGGAGCCATTTTGCTTTTCCTGCTACTGGCCGAAATCTCTTCCAATGGATCAAAACGCAGCGGCAGAAAGTGCGGCCGGCGCGAGAGTTTTTCAAGACGGATAAGTTCCACATTCCGACCAGCGTTGTCGTGGCATCCAAACGTCTGGTCACCAACCTCGATTACTTCCAGTGCAATTATTTATTAGTCTTCGTTGTCCTGTTCATATACTGCATGTAAGTTTTGTGATATTTTTAAATATTCAAAAACTGAGACCCCTTACCCAGTGAATGAGCACTGTTGAAGATTTCAATCTGTCACACTACGATAGGCCAGTTGTTATAAATGTTTCATAGATTGTCGTTATCTTAACGTCGTTGTTTGAAGCAGGAGACATCAAGCTTTGTAAGTTGTAACGTGATATGCAGATGCACTCATTTCACTGCAACCATTCTGCAAAAATGATGTTGCACATTCAGCGATGATATATTTGTGATGACTATTAAGATTATAATACTGAAAATGATGATGATACCTGTGATTATGACAATGAAGGGGGTTATGTCGATAGTAATGGTAGTGATGACTAGGGTACAGTGATTATCGTATCAGCTTGTAATTATGATAAAGAGAATGTATGGTCACAGTGGCGACGACGATCTTACTGGTCAGCATGTTTAGCGCTGAACATGTAGTCAGAGCATTATGGGTCTTAACTATAGCTGAGTTCACTCTATTCCTTTATAGGAACCAATATCAAGATATGTGGAAGAAACATGTTAAACAAGGTTTGGTTTTAGCCACGAAGTTGGAGACATAGTTGTCATAAATAGATATAAAAATAAGACAATCGCTAGTGATACATCGAAAGGAAATCACGATTATACTTTAAATTCGATTAAAGAATAGTAATAAGAATGGCATGCATGAAAGTATATGTCAAACATTAAAACGAATGTGAATTTTTGTTTGTTTTTCTCAAGCACCGGATTATCGTGTTGTAATTGTTACCTGTTACGTCCAGGAGTAAGAATAAAAATTTAAAAATGTATATACATGGTTTATTTATATACACACACGCAATAAAATTGGTCAGGCGTGATTGACCATTATTGACGTTTCTATTCGTCCCTCTTGGGTATTCTTCAGGGTGATCCAAGTTGATTTCCGTAGTTGGTTCTGTAGTCCGAGTTGTTGTGACTTTGACGTAAAGACCGGACCACAGAATCATCTCGGACCAGCTTGTGAGCCGGAACGTTGGTACTGCTCAGTCACCTGACTCACCAGTTTGTTTAGTTGCATTGTGTATAAACCGTTTTTATGTATTTTTCAGTTTTCAGTATGATCACCAATGGGCGCGAACAAAATATACTCAATCTGAGGAGTCAGAATATGCTAATCTAGCTGTTTTGTTCATCAACTGGAGGTCACATTTCTTTATGTTAAGCGTTCGCATTTGTTGACGTAGACCATTCATCACAGGCGTCGATTAGCCTTCGGCGGCGTACAGTCGATAGAGGAACGTGACCTTTGCCGCAACAAAGCCTAAATGATTCTAATAAGCCAAAGCGACAGACATCATTAATCTGGGTATTCTATCCTCGACCCTGATGCCCCAGATAACGATAACCAAAGCAGTAACTTTTCTCTACCTGATTATTGCCAAGGAAAAATTGAGATTCATTGATGGGTCCAATAACGTTTTCGCTAAGTCGTGAATTTGATTGTTTCGCAGTTATCACTGTCGCTTTTCGGTCTTCTCAATTTTCCCTGCTTTCAATCCATATCTTATTATGGTTGTTATTTTCGTCTCCTTCAAGGGTGCTTTTTGGCAAAAGTCCATTTTTGCATCTTTAAGATTTTCTGTAGTTTGCTATATTAAAATTATTTTTCAGACTCACTTCGCCGCTGCTTCTGTTAGTGTTGGGAAGTTTTGGGGCAGCTTTGTTTTACATAAAAAAGCGAAGCACCGAAAAAAGACTTGTCATCGCTGGCTACGTGGTGGACACGTTTTACCAGTACATCGCGCTCTCCGTCCTCGCGTTTCCTTTGTTTTACTTTGCCGGTGCCGGGTCAGTCATTTTTTGGGTGATAGGTAAGTGGGTGTAAAACTTTTGCATTTTGGCTGAATTTAGTTCGTGTTGGCTCATGTAAATTTTACTTTAATAATAAATGACTTTTGCTTAATAATCTAATCAGCGACCATCATTTCGACTAATCGTTCTTACTTATTGATGATTTCTTTATATGCTGTAAAAAGGACGTGTTAAGGAAAGAAAACAGAATCACCTAGAAGCATGCTGTCCATGAAAAAGCCCTTCAGTTTTCTTCGCTCCACTGCTTGATAATAATCCTCTCCAAGAAGATACTTAGTCTTACCATAAATATATTTTGTGGTTTTGTTTTATTCATCTTAATTCAACGAACTTCCTCTGTTCATTCTTCAGTCGACCTGAATGTCTTTCTACTGGTCATTTACTTTCTTTTGAAAACCAGTCTGACATATGTGGTCCAGCGATGGGCGCATCTTCTCTCAACGTGGTCTACCCAATGCAAGTTTAACTTTTTTGCTTTTGCACGGACATAATAGATTTCTGTTTGTGCTCATACCCGTTTGTTCGTCCTCCTATTTTTTATTATTTCTAAAATAAACGTTCGCAAGCTGCAGCCTTTTGGTGGAATTCAGCCATAGCGTTCATTTTCCCCATCCATATTAGCGGTATGAGCATTAACTGATCAACGACTCTCCGTTTTAAGCACAAGGATCGTTTCCCGGTTAAGAACATTTTCATTGTTGCATAAGTGCTCCATGTCATTTTTTGCTCTTTTAATGGTTCGATGTTGAAGCAATGAGCTATTCTGAGTTAAAGAGTGTTACACCGTGTCGACAGGTCATGACATAACGTTCAGCTGTTGGGTTCTTATATATATTCTTGAGATCAGAATGTCGTCCGCAAAAATTGCAAACAACTGAAGTAGTGTGTATTTATGCTCAGCGCCTGATTTTCCCAATACAGTGTCTTGGAAACCTCTTGTACGGATGCTGTGAATGGCTTCGGTATATTTTGTCTCCCTGGTCGATGTCATTTTCTTTTTTAAATTTGTTTTAAAGCTTCACAGTAGCATTTGGATTTTGTAAATCATGGCGAGGAAGTCTAAACCTGTTTTATCGATTCCTTAGCTTCGCAATCATTAATATTGTTTTAGAACAGAATTTCATAGCATACAGATTGCATGATGTTCTCAGATATTTTTAGCAGATCATTTTGTTTCCAATATCGTTTGTTTTCATGTCAGACCTGTAGCTAATCATCGCTGGTCTGTTGTTTCATCGTGTAATTGAAAATTAGACACTATAAACCAATAGAAAATATTTGTTTCTTACATGATGCTACAAACAACGAAGTATAATTATTACTAAGGCATATGTGGCGAAATTTCTTTCGTTCTGCGATGATGTATATTAGGTAACTACACACCAAAATGCCTACGAAACAAAATCCAGTTGTAAGCATAAACGCATTATCTATGGAAAACACGTTGCCAAGCATATATTAGAGAGTAGATTTTACTTGTTTCCTGCATGAATAAGACAACACCACGAAGCGGCATTTCCTAAAATGAATGATGACTATTTTACCTAAATTGGAATACGTTGCTTAAAACACAGGTTTTCGCTTAACGATTGGAAATTGTTATCTCAGTAGGGAAGAGAATAGCAGAAGGAAATCGTAAAATGTTAGCGTACCTGCCATCTTAAAAAACAGATTACCGAAAGTACTGACAATTGAAGAATGATTAGTTTGTTTCAGTGTCCGTTACACGATAGTCTTCGTCTTATTCACGAATTCTTTTAAGCAAATCATGTGTACGATATATTGCCTCAGACCGTGGTTGCGCAGTCGGTTTAGCGTCGAACTCAGAACCGATAGGTCCCGAGTTCAAGCGCCGTTCGGCGTCCCTCGTCGTTCCGAGGTTGATAAATAAACGAGTACCACTCTGTGGTAAGGAAACAGAAGACTACACGATGCGCTTTCCGCATGGCTGTATACTTAGCCTTTAAGACAAAGGTACTCCTTGCTGGTGGCTCAGAAATGGAGACAAACACTGCACCATCAGCTGTATAAAAAAGAACGCCACAATGACCCATCATAAACTTGAGGGAAGACCGACATTCCAACAGTGATAAACTCTCCCTTTTCTTTTCCTTTACGACAGTACAATAGAACTAGCCGTTCAACCGTGAGTTTTTCCCATAATGGATACTTTCTTCCGAATAAAATATAAAATCGCACGTTAACTGTAGCATAAAATTAATTAAATCCCACTTCATAATTATATTAAATCATTCTTATTATTAAATGATTTAATTAACCACTTTGGAGCCTTATGAACTGTTTGTACTTGTGCTTTGGAGCAATGCAGTATATGCGTGTGATGTTTACACCTATTTTTAGGAGCCAGCATCTTTTGCATAATTGTGCACGCCTTATTTTACGCTTCCG